TTAAGAAGGATAACGTTTCCAACTTTATCCATTCGGACTAACAAAAAGGTCCAAAAACCCAAATCATAAGCTTGATCATGCAAGGTCTTAACCGATATGCACTTAATCCTTAAGGTCTGAAGTTCATCCTTTCTTGAAGTGATTTTAACACCTAAACCATCCCAAAGGTTTGTGCGTTTTAGACATACATGTCCAATGCATGTCTTGAACCCATATTTGGTCAAAATGAGGATTTATGACCTAATCTCTATGCATGGCATCAAAATTTGATTATAGACCAGATCCAAGACACTACTAGGTCACCTTGACATGGAGATTCATAAAGTTGCAAACTTTAAGAGATCTAATCATTTCAACATTTAAGAGCAAGAAGAAAAAGGGACAAAACTCAAGATCTAGCAATTTTTAGTGACAAAAATCGGGTCCTGGATACTTACAAAGGTTCAAAATAGTGCCAAACTGAAGAATGGGGCTTGCTTATTAGATTTTTGCTTCCTTCTTCCACCTTGTTCCTTCTTTAGCTTCAAAAACACCAAACTAGCTTTAAAAATGGGAGGGAAAGATGATTATGGTTTCTTTCAGGGCATGAGGGGCATGAGGGTGAACAAACCTTAGCCTCTACATTCCATTAAATAAGGAGCAAAACCCAAAAGATTAGGGTTTCATTCTAACCATCAACATGCCATGTTCGAAGAGGTAACATATCGTGTTGCCCAAAATGAAACCCATGCCTTCTCATATATGGACACGCCATGTTGGTGCCTCCAATACGCCATGTCCAATCCTCAAAAGGTGATTTATACTCAAGGGTGTAACAACTTGACCAATTTGGCATGAAATAGAATTATAGGGGTGAATTTAGAAGTACCTGAACATCGGGATGTTACACATGATTTCCTATCCAAGTTCAAGCATGTAGGTTGTAGTCAAAACATCTTTATAGTCTTGTCTTGCTGCAATCAAAAGAATTATAATTACGCATTTGTTACATGTTCCGGACTTAAGTTTATGTTTGGGAGGACATTCCGAAACATCATTTCGGATCAACCAACATTCCGGAATACCATTATGGATCAACATTCTAGAAAAGTTCTACACATTACGGGCCAGATATGATCTTCGTATTCTGGAGTCATTCCGGACAATGCATAATTAGAATTTTTTATGGATCTGTTGTTCTTGGGCACACATATACCCACATATAACCCTATAATAGCCTAAAAATTACTAAAAGTCAAACGAAAACGAATAATATCTATGTAGTCGCATCAATTTACACAAAATAAATTACAGAGTAAATTACTAAAATCGTCCCTATGGTTTTATCAAAATTAACTTTTTTTTACACTCGGATCGTCCCTGTGGTTTGATTTTGTTGCATTTTTCGTCCCTATGGTTTGGTCAAAATTGCACCTTTGATTGGTCCCTAACTTTATGTATGTAAGTGACGAAAAACGCAACAAAATCAAACTACAGGGACGATCCGAGTGCAAAAAAAAGTTGAGGACCAAACGTGTAATTTTGATCAACCATAAGAACCATTTTAGTAATTTACTCTAAGTTAAAATATATATTTTTTAACATATAATCTTTAATGAAAACATATAATTATAAAAACTAGTAAAAAACCCCAGACATTGCCTCAGGTCAGTTTTTTTTTAGTTAATTATTGAAACATCGTGAAAAAAAAAAAGCTAGAAGTCATAGGATAGACAGATCATATTTTTAGAGGGCAGGGTCTAAAAATGTAAAAGTTTGAAAAGTGGTTTTGCAATATGAAAGTCAACAAAAATTTACTAAGGGACTAAAAGTGTAAATGATTAGAAAGTGGTGTGGCAAAATAAAAGTCAACAAAATTTTACTATTTCTAGATCAAGCTTTATATATATATATATATATATATATATATATATATATATATATATAGGGAAAAGTGAATATACCCTTAAGGGGATATAAGCTTAGGTACCCAAACTCATAATAATACATCGTTTTATTTGATATATTCATTATAATATTGTTAAACTTCAATCATTAACTTGATTTATATTTAATATTTTTAAATTTCACTATTATCTGTTTTTTACATCACATCTTTTTATCGAACACTTACTAGGCTATATATATTATTGTTGAAAATGACAATTATATAAGAGAAAGATAAATATGAAATTTATAAAAAATCTTTGAAGTAATTCAATTTAGAAGTTGAATTATAAGAACATTGGACAATTACAATGTCTATATATATATGATATAAAATGATGTAGTATGGTGAGTTTGGATACCTAAGCTTATATACTCTTAAGGGTATATTCACTTTTCGTTATATATATATATATATATATATATATATATATATATATATATATATATATATATATATATATATATATATATATATATATATATATATATATAATTGAAACATACCCACAAAAAATGAATATCTTTATTGCCACAAGAATGATATTTTTTTATTTGGTTTGGTGTGTGAAATGCTGTCTAGAATAAGACGAGATCGAAATAAAGTCTGAAATTAATTGGAAATATTATTTACAAGAGGGGCTATATTACCGGGTTGGATCAATATACTCATTTACCCATTTTGAAATACGGATTCGGAATGAATCATTTCAGTCTGAATGGTCATTTAAAAAAAATGCACTTATTTATAAAAAAATAAAAATAAAAAAAAACCATTAAAAAATGGTTAGTTTACTCAATTTGCCATATTTTAAATGTATGAAGATTTAAAACATAAACTTTTTTTATATAATTTAGCATCTCAACAACAGCTATATCTCAACCGTTATGTTCCCATTAAATTGTCGTTGGAAACTATATTTCCTTGCAAATAGGGTTTTAGATCAATAAAAAATTATTTATTGTTAAATAAATCGCATGACTTCACATTTGAATCCCAATATTTCCATGGTCTCTCAGCAACACACTGAAATGTCCCTCTCGTTGTGAAACAATTCACTATTACATGTCCTTTTCAGATCTTACAAAATCTATTCCATGGCCAGTTTGAGTATCAGTTTTGGTTAATTTTCGATTTTGGCCAACAAAGTTTTAAACATGTCAAAGTGGTTTAGGTATTTGCAAAGGTGCAAACAAGTATAATTTGTTACTGATTAGGGTTTAGGTCTAAGATCTTTAGAATTTAGATTAAGTTTTTTTACGTCCCTATTTATATGAGGTTTAACCTCACTATTTATCAATGAAACGTTCTATTGTATAACATGGTATCAAAGATTTAACTTAAAATCTTACCGCTAACCAAAACATGCTATCGCCGCCCTCCACCTTCGACGATATTCTCTCATAGTCGCCATAAGTGCCTTCATTATGCTTCATATTCCATTCGTTTGTTTTTTTCCCTCCTAAATAATAAAACAACTGTTGATACCAAACTAGAGCTCTTACCTCCACTTTTTCTATTGTCTCGTTTGTTTATGTCTCCTCGTCGGATGGCTCCTACCTCTAAGGTTTCTGTCTTCTTCTCAACTTGCATCTTCTTCACATCTATTTTCCAAGTGACGCGGAATAGGTTTCGTCCGTCGCACCTCGAGTCATCTTTCATTCTCGTTGCTTTTCTCAGGACTCCTCTGCCGCTCGACACGATGATCGCCCCCGTCGCCGCTCCTCTCTTCTTATACGAAGGAACCGCTGCTTCTTATTTCTCATTTTCTCCGTCTCCAAGGTTGTTGTTAGCCTTTATCATTAGAGCTTTGCCACCATCGATGTCGGCGTCTTTATTTATGTTATGCTTTATATTAGTTTAATCGTCCCTCCCGATCAAACTACAGGGGATGTTAGTGATTAGGGTTTAGACCCAAAAGTATTTCTTTTATGTATTCCTATTTACAATGAATCGATATATTATAGACAAAATTTCACGATTGGTCCCTGTGGTTTACACAATATCGCACTTTGAGGACTTTCTAGCAAAAAGTCACGCGAATGGTCCTTAAGGTTTCATTTAATTGCGCGATTGGTCCTTGACCCTAACCCCGTCATTTTTGAGCCATTAGTAAAGGGGTAAATTTGTCTTTTCATCTTGCAGTCACTCTAATAATCGATCATTATGCACATATACGCATGAACTCTGTAATTAAGTACAAAGATCATCTTCCTCAGCTACCCATTACCCTTTCGCATTCATCTTCGTCTTCTCCAACAGAACACAAGGCAGAGGATCATCTGTCGATTGAAAACGATAATGGTGTTAACGTTATGGTCACTTCGTTCCAAACACACTAAAGCATCAAATTATGATTTGGAAAGGATATACCGTAAGTGACTTACTAAAGTGATCTTTGATTTTCTCGATTTGATATTATGCCCAAATTGTTGAAATTTTTTTTGTTATTCTTTATTTCAGAGGGAATAAGCAACTATTTCACTCTGAAAATCCATCATGGTGGGATATTCACGAAAAGCCCTGGGAGAAGGTACGTAGATGGAACAATAGACTATGTTGACTTCGTAGATATTGACGTTTTCTCTGTGCATGAGTTGGATACAATGGTTCGAGAAATAGGGTACGTAGAAGGGCAAACTTTGTATTATCATTTTCTTATTCCAGAAGTAGAGTTGGACTTTGGTCTGTTACCTCTAGGAAATGATGGGGATGTGCATGTATTGTCAAATTATGTGGAAAAAAATAACCTTTTAAGTATCTACATAGAGCATGGGCATACAAGGGTTAACAGTTATTTTTTGTCCCCCACCAAGGTTATTATTGAGGAGTTGGTTACTGATGTATCCCCTGAACTAGATAGGAACCAAAAGAAGGGAAAAGTTGTTGGGTCTTCTAGGAAAAAATTAGACTACTCCCAGTCCATTGTGCCATATGGAACATTTGATGGACCTTCACAAGTGATACAGGATAGTGAGCCAGTTATGGATGATGAGCCAGTTATGACTGATGAGCCAGTTTTGAATGATGAACCAGTTATGAATGATGAACCAATTTGAATGATGAACCAGTTATGAATGATGTACCTGTTATGAATGATGTGCCAATCATAGATGACCAATATGATGAGCCAGTTATGAATAATGATCCAGTTGTAGATGATGAATATGATTGTGAGGATAGTGCAGATGAAAGTGATTTTGATAGTCAGCATGATGCAAAAAAATAGTGTTTGATGAGGAACCTTTGATAGATGATGTGGAGGTGAACATGATCAACTTCTGTAGTGTACTTGATGAAGACATTGACTTGGGCCAGCTTGATCCGACAAACAATAATACTAAGGAACATGAAGACATTGAAGATGAACGTTTAGAAGTCTTAGACAATGATGTATTTGAGTCATTTGCTAGTGAAAAAGAGCCTAGGAAGAAATTGTTAAGGTCCATTCTAAAACCAGTTGCTTGTTCATCTGGTGAGGTTCACACTAAAGCTTTTAAGATTGGTCAGACGTTCAAGGAAAAGGAAAAAATAAGAGAAGTTATTGCCAACTACTCTGTAAAAGAAAGGAGGGATCTACATTATGTAAAGAATGACAAGACAAGAGTTAGGGTAAAGTGTAGGGGTATTGTTCCTGAATTGACTGGTGACAGTAATAAAGATAGGGGCAATTTAGTACTTTCCAAGAAAACAACTTGTCCATGGGTTCTTTTTATATCTAGGGCAGATGAGAAACAACTTTGGACTGTCAAAACATACGAAGATTCTCATTCTTGTTTGCAAACAAGGACAGTGAGGGCTTGTTCATCTAAGTTTCTAGCTAACAACATATTGCATCAAGTTGAAAGTAACCCCAAGATCCCTACACGTGCTTTACAAGAGGAGTTAGTACAGAGGTATTCACTTTCAATATCAAAGATGAAAGTATTTCGGGCCAAAGCTATGGCAAAACAATATGTTTATGGTGATTATGAAAAGCAGTACGGTGTTTTGAGAGAATATGCCATGGAATTGAAGTCAAAGAATCCAGGAACAACTGTGAAGATAGATGTCGAAACTGAACCCAATGTGTCTTCTGAGACAAGGATCTTCAAACGGATATATATATGCTTAGGTCCATTGAAGGAGGGATTTAAAAAAGGTTTGAGGGATTTTCTTGGATTTGATGGTACGTTTTTGAAGGGTCCCTTTCCAGGACAAATTCTTACTGCAGTTGGGCTTGATTCGAACAATGGCATTTACCCAGTTGCATATGCCATTGTAGAGACTGAAAATATTAACTCTTGGACATGGTTTTTGGAACACTTGGGTGATGACTTAGATTTGAATTCTTCATCTAACTTCACTTTCATTTCAGATCGGCAAAAGGTACCCTCTAACTTTTTATTCACTTTTACTTTTTTTTATTATTTCATTTACTAACTTATTTTAATTGTACTCACAGGGAATCTTGGCTGCAATAGAGAAGTTATTTCCATCAGCTGAGCAAAGGTTCTGTTTAAGACATGTGTATGACAACATGAAATTGAAACACAAAGGAGATGAATTGAGGGAAGCAGTATGGTGTTGTGGAAAAGTATACAACATACCAAAATTTAATAGGGCTATGGAGAAACTGAAAAAGCTTAACCCAGAAGCACATGAGTGTTTAAGTAAAATTCCTGCAAAACACTGGGCAAGATCCCATTTCTCTGGTAAGTATCATACTCTTTTCACTAACATATTTCATAACTGATTTCAGTAATTAATTGTTTGGTTTTATATATAGGAAGGGCATTGACTGATAGTTTAACAAATAACTTGTGTGAGGTATTTAACTCCAAGCTAGATGAGGCAAGGGACAAGCCTATAATCACTTGTTTGGAATATATTAGAGAATACCTCACAAAGAGAATAGTAAATGTTCATAAGGTGCTAGACAAATGCAAAGGTTCTCTAAGTACAACTGCAACAACAATCTTAGAAAACAATAAGACAGAGGCAAGTAAGATGAGGGTTCTATTTAATGGAGCTGATAAATATCAAGTGACTGGTCTATGGATGGAGCAGTATGTTGTGAATTTGAAAGAGAGGAGTTGCACTTGCAGGAAATGGGACATTACAGGTATTCCATGCCAGCATGCTATTGCTGCAATGTATGATAAGATGCAGAATGGGTCAGAATGTGGAGATCCTGAGGCTTGGGTGAGCAAATGTTACTGGCTCAGTACATGGAATGCTATGTACCAACACACAATTGACCCAATAAATGGAAGGAGCATGTGGCCTAGATCTGATTGTCCAACAACCCTTCTCCCACCCAAACATCACAAACAGGTTTGTTGTCATACATGTTTTGTTTAATTTAACTTGAAACTATTTAATAAACTTGTTAATATGTAACCATATGAATTTGTTTATAGGTTGGTAGGCCAAAGAAAAAAAGGAAGAGGGCAGTTGATGAGCCAACTCAAAGTACCAAGTTAAGTAGGAAACACTTGACAGTCACTTGTAGCAAATGCCACAACAAAGGTCACAATGCTAGGACTTGCAAGGGGCAGGGAGGTCCTAGTGAAGCTGGATAGGGGGGTGGACAAAAGAAGGGAAAACATGTTGTAGCTTAGTTTGTATTTCTAAGTAATCTTTTGCTATTATGTCTAATTAAAGTTAGAACATGTTTACTAAGTTTGGTTATGGTATGTCAGTCAAAACAACTACTTTTGATAGGTCTTTTGGGTATTCTATGTTTGTAACATGATATTACACTTACATGCATTATGGTTAATGGTAATGCTACTTTGGTAATTAGTTTTTTGGCTATGTTACTGCACTTTAATAATCAACATTACACTTACATGCAATCAAATTGACAATTTCCTTCCTTGCTAATATAATATCCATCACATTAAAACAAAACATCAAACTTACATTACATATTATATCTGTTACATTTTCTTGTCCCAACATTACATACAATCATAGGGAAAATCCTTCAAAAGCTATGAAAAAATGGGACCAAAAGACAGATTCCAAGTTATAGATTCCCCCCCCCCCCCCCCCCAAATGCTTCTTGATTTTTTACTTGAAAAGGTAACACACCATGAAAAACAACCAACTCAGACAAAGTAGCCATTTCACCATCATCAATCTTGCTTCGAGATTGTTTCTTCCACGCAACAACCCTGGAATCACAACAGTTGACCTAGGGCACATGGGAGGGTCGAACCATCCAAAAAAGCTGCATGTTCCTCCTAACCTTGAGCATGACCAAAATCGACGACCTGGGTTCAAGTCAGTCCACGATGTCACCAAAATCGCCGGCCTTCCACAGTGGCATATCACCATCTTCTTCAATTTTGGAATAGAATGTGAGTAGGGAAGGAAGAACAGAGGCAAGGAACGAGAAGTAGAAGGATACAAAGGCGGACCTTAAATTATATACTCTGATGCACAACAAGATGAAAAGACAAATTTACCCCTTCACTAACGGCTCAAAAATGACGGGGTTAGGGTCAAGGACCAATCGCGCAATTAAATGAAACCTTAAGGACCATTCGCGTGACTTTTTGCTAGAAAGTCCTCAAAGTGCGATATTGTGTAAACCACAGGGACCAATCGTGAAATTTTGTCTATATTATATAACATAACTAAGTCGTAAGCGATTGTAACAAAAACACCCAAAAAGTATTTTACTCTTTGACAATGGGTATCTTTTTAGTAAAATGAAGTGTCCATTAAAGTCCTTTCCTAAAATGTGAGTAACCTTTAATTCTTTGAAAATTGGTCACAAATACTTGTGTAAATAGTTTTCTTTAAATTCGAATTTCGTATTATGACCCCTTTCTTATTCCATTTAGCAATTTTCCCTTCATACAATCGGTACATTCAAGGCAGTATGAGTAATCAAGGTCATCATGGATTCCATTTTTTATGAGACATCATTCTGACCAGTGATATTTGGCCAAAACGTTTACGCAACAACTTTCAGAAGCCTGGTTTTCTAACTTTCTCTTTAGTTCCATGACAACTTTTGTAAATATTAAATGGGCTCATTGTCATTATAAATAAATTTAATCCATAGAGGTTTCTATATTAATCATCGAAATCACGGTGATAAAAATAGTTAGACATCATTACTTTATTGCAATTGAAATTAGAAGTGCATCCAGCATTTATTTTGTAGAACAACGTAATATTATAAACTAGCAAAAACTATAAAGTTTTACATTACAAAAAGAAGTATCCACACTTTACTATATTATTATTATTAGAGTATTGGTAGTAGGAGAATAAGTTTTAGGAAATTTCCTTCTAATTATCACAATCACAACATGTAGTTTGTATAATAATAATAATAATTATTATTATTATTATTAGAGAAGTTTCCCATGGTTTGTATGGTTTGTATGGTTTGGAGGGTTTGAATTTGTGTTTGTGTTGTTAATTCTGCCAAAAAATAAATAAATAAATTACATTAAATAGAAAAAACACTATATTTAAAAAATAGATTAGGTAGCCACAAACGAAATAGAAAAAAAAAAGAATAACATAATACAAATCTATTTTTGTTACCACAACATTGGAAGCCTAAATGCCATTTTTAATCATAAATCAAATATATAGAAATATGAAAAGATGCAACAAAACTTCTTTTTTCATGTTCTTTCGGTCTTTGATTCAAACTCACCATACAAATGGAGGTCTTCTCGTCCGAACCTGGATGTATATATTCAAAGCCAATGTCAAAAAATACACATCACATGAATCATGGATCATAATATATAGAAAGTAACTTAGCTGCCGGATTCACAAGAACATGTTTAAATCTAGACAAATCTTTCCCGAGTTTCCTTCAAGATTTGTTGCAGTACATTAGTAAGTTTACTGCTATATTTGGGCCGCAAATTGAATACGATTACCGGTATTTGGGACTTCATTGAATAAAAAATAAATATAGGGACTAAATCGATTATGAGGCCAATATATAAGGATTTTATTACGGTTTTCCCTAATAATAATAATAATAATAATAATAATAATAATACTTTAAGGACCTTACAAAATGTTTATTTGATTTAATCTGTACAATTCGGCATTATTACAAGATATAATAAATGATACTTATAATGTCAAATATTATCTTAAAGCTAAATGTACATGTACACGAATATATTTCAGACAGTCATAAACTGCATATAAAAGATAGACTTTGGTGATTTTCATCAAAGATCCACCCGACAACCAAAAACAATGAAAGAACTCACTTTCAAAGTGAAAATTCAATACATTTATACATAAAAGTACCGTACATGCAAGTCTTTGTCCATGAATGAACAGTCTAAGTTACAACTTTGAGGTATGAAAGTTAAATACAAATTAAACATATCCATGATAAAAAAAATTTGAAAAAAAGTAAAAACAAACAAACAAACAAATAAACGAAATCCATACTTGGAGTAGGAGGGGTCTTGTTTCGGTCAACTCTAAGAAGGCACATAAGGAAACTGAAAAGGTGTCAGTTAGGCGATGCAAGGCCAGAAATCGATGGAGAGAAGATAACACGTGTAAGCAAACGGTAAACAAACATGATGACAATGCAAAACCCACCTTCAAATAACAGTTATATAGAGAAAAAGTAAAAAAGATACCACGTTTACCAAGAAAACAAATGGAACAGGTATTAAACAAAAAAAAACCACCAATAAGATTGAAGAATTGTTCTTTAATGTTGTAAACTCAAGCAATAACCACCGATTGATTTTTTTTATGGTTTCTTTGTTATTGCTATACTTGTTTGTGTTCAGCAAGATAGATAATTATGGTTTATAACAAAGCATATGTGTAACAATATGAAGGAGCTCATGAAGAATATCACTATTGATATTAGAAATTACCGAGAAAATATCTATTTTGTTGAAGTGATTGATTTAGGTTACAACACAACAACATAATCGTAATTGTACCTATATTGAAAAAATTGGTACATCATGATCAAAATACAGATGGTTGCACCTCAATATTCAAAACATACAAATAAATGAATTTTGTGTTATATAACCCTAAAATGAAACAGTCAAAAATTTCCTTACCTCATATCAATGTCTTCTTATTCTCACAGATTGTGAAGCTTTGGAGATCATTTTATCTTTGATGTGCGCATCTGACTTTAACCAGGTCCAACTATTTGATATCATCCAACTCTCATAGCTTCTAAGAAGGGTCAGGTGCGCAATACTAAAGGATAATTACTCGAACTCTTCATCCCATTACCTAATTAAAAAAAATATTATTTAGAGATGAGACGACATTACTCGAACTCTATGCATGCAGTTAAAAGATATTACCATGATATTCTAAAACAATAATCATGGAAATATTTTGGGTAACTGTTCCAAAAAACTTAAGTACAATAGGATGTCTGATCTTCTCCAACAAAGTCAACTAATGTCAAAAGCCTTTTTGCATTACTAAAAGCCAAATGGGTTCAAAATACAAATGACAATTAAGTAATTTGCTTAAAATTAACGGAAAAGAAGGTGTAAATACATACATACTATCACGTTCAGAATAGCCATCCTTATCTACTATCTTCACTAAAACTATTGCTCATTCCATTTAGCAACTTGATAAGTTCCCTATAAAAATGACCAAAATGTCCACATAGTACCATTAATATAATGAATATATATAAACTATGTCCTTAAAGATGCCATCACTTTTGCAAATTTGAAGCTCTAGAGGATTGGTAGCCACACCTGAAATTAGGGGTGTCAATAGAAAGCAATTCACTGGTCCCTTTTAACAAAGCCTGACACTATTACGTTAGTTCTCAAATGTGCAATTGTATCTCTACGTCAGTTTATTCCTTTCTCTTTCCTGCAATCCAATAAATTAAAAGAAGTTCATACGACTATGATTAAAAAAATGAAACAACAGGGATGAAAAACTTGAAGTTGAAATACGTACATATATATGTAGGTTTAGATCAATTTCGTCCACGTACATACGCTTTTGATAATGAAATCTTCCTATCACTTTAGAAAACCCACTTCAACAGATATTTTTGTATTCAAAACCAATAAACACTCTTTTCACTCCGATTGACGACGATTCCAACAACAATATCGGTGGTGTTGTTAATGGGTTTGTTGCCAAGAAACAACTCTAATCACCTAAATCGAACCGTAGCACAAACCTAGTTCTCCTCTCAACGGCCAAAACCAAAACATTTAACATAAGATTTAAAGCAAAATTAAACAAAATGAACCTGCAATTTTCGAAGTCAGATTCATGATACAACGAACTTGAGTCTCCTCTTGAGAATATAAGATAAAAAAAATCGGATGAAAAGAAATTTGGGAGAAATCAATCTGTACAGGGATATAAAGAAAGATATCGGGGACAAAACCTCATTGGCTGACAACAACGATGTTGATGTTGACCAAAAATCCTGTGAGGCATTGGAATCAAACAGTGGTTAGTGAAGAAACACGACGTACGCGTGTGAGGGCAGATAACCGGAAAACCGGAACTATTCACAAACGTGTGGGGAATATGGTGGTGCCGACTTCACATCCAGTTGCAAGTAAGTGTTCGCCATTGCAATCTAGAAGAAAGGAATGTGTGAAGGTTCTTAAATCGATTATTAAAGATACGGTGGTGGTGGAATGTTGGCGGTAGAGAAGCTATGGCAGTGGAAGCATCCAGAAAGTTAGGGATTTAAGAAGGTAACCAGAAGCCAAGGTAAATAACCGATGAGCAGTACCCTGGTTAACTACTATTCAAATCGATAACTATGATCGATTTTCCATCGATTGAAGGCAGGGACAACAGTTATTCAAGAAAGAATGCAAAAGAGGGAAGGAGGAAATGTTGGGTTTATGTGGAAGGATTGATGATGGATACAGATAAAGGTGCTCGGAGAGATCTGGAAGGAGTAGGAAAAAAGACAACCAAAAAAATAACACGTTACAACGTTAGTAAAAGATAACAACACATGTAGAAGCTATGAATAGTATCACCACCGACCCATGATCGTCGGAAGAATCCACCGAGCCAAGATAATCAGAACAAAGGGATGAAACGTCAACGCGAAAAGGCACGATTAAAAAAAATCTAACCAATCAGATGCAAGAACTATTCTTAAGGGAACATTTTTTATCTATATATAAAATAATAATTGAAAATAAAATAAAATGTTGTTAAGTATATAATTTTAGGTATTAAATCCATGAGTAAACTACCTGGATGGTCCTTATGGTTTTATGTAATTTGCATGTTTGGTCCATAAATTATTCTTTTAACTCGGACTGTCCCTATAATTTGGTTTTGTTATGTCGTTGGTCTCTAACCAACTTAAAATGATTGATATATCCT